TCACTGGAAATGAAGCAATTCTGCTTAGAGAGGTTTACTCAAAATTATTCACAAAACTGTTTAGTCAGTTTACACTTTTAATTCCCCTAATTTGGGGGCTGAATTAAGGTCTTGAGGCAAATAGTGAAGAGATATCCTTCCGTGTCCACCTTATTCCTCTTTTCTGTATCAAATCAACTTACCTCCTCTGCCTGTGATTACAAGCTTCCCTTGCATGACACTGGAGTTAGGCTCTAGTGGTGGGGTTCATAGGATCACAGACCCAAGAAATTACCAGCCTAAATATGTTATTAAATGGCAAGAAGTGGGATGAGACATATTGGTATATGGAGAAATTTCAGGCCTTTTATTAAATCAAAAGGTTTGTACATAATTTATGTTACTGAATATGTGATTTCCTATATCAGTGTTTGTGTATGTATATGTGCAGAAAAGTTAGTTTACTTTGAAAATATTGCTTTCCTGTTACTGAGTTACTCATAAGTTAAATACTGGTCTCAAGATTCCAAGTCTCCTCTATTAATGAGAATTACTTCAGTACTTCATTTATTTAATCAAAATTACAATGAAGTAACACTCACACTGGTCAGAATGGCCATCATTAAAAAGTCTATATATAACAAATGCTGGAGAAACAGTGGAGAAAAGGGAACTCTTACATTGTTGGTGGGAATGTATTAATAAATTGGTACAGACACTATGGAAAACAGTAAGGAAGTTCTTAAAAAATCTTAAAATATAATTGTCATATGGTCTAGCAATTACACTTCTGGTCACATATCCAGACAAAACTGTAATTCAAAAAGGTAACATGCACCCTAATGTTCATAGCGGCTCTATTCACAGTAGCCTAGATATGGAAACAGCCTTAAAGTCCATCGGCAGATGAACAGATAAAGAAGATGTGGTTCATTATCAGTGGAATGCTACCAAGCCATAAAAAGAATGAAATGCCTTTTGCAACAACATGCATGGAAATAGAGATTAACATACTAAGCAAAGTGAGTCAGAAAGAGGACAAATACCATACAATATCACTTATGTGTAGACTCTAAAATAAGACACAAATGATCTTATCTATGAAACAGAAATGGACTCACAGACATAAAGAACACATTTGTAGTTCCCAAGGGGAAGGAAGTTTGGGGGAGGGTTTGAATGGGAATTTAGGATTAGCAGATGAAAACTCAGATATAGAATGGATAGAAAACAAGGACCTAACATATAGTACAGGGAACTATAGTCAACACCCTGTAATAAACCAATTCAGTTGCTCAGTCATGTCCGACTCTTTGCAAACCCATGAACTGCAGCAGACCAGGCCTCCCTGTCCATCACCAACTCCTGGAGTTTACTTAAACTCATTTCCATTGAGTCGGTGATGCCATCCAACCATTTCATCCTCTGTCACCCCATTCTCCTTTTGCCTTCAATTTTTCCCAGCATGAGGGTCTTTTCCAATGAATAGGCTCTTTCCATCAGGTGGCCAAAGTATTGAAGTTTCAGCCTCAGCATCAGTCCTTCCAATAAATATTCAAGGTTGATCTATTGATTTGGCTGGTTTGATCTCCTTGCAGTCCAAGGGACTCTCAAGAGTCTTCTCCAACACCACAGTTCAAAAGTGTCAATTCTTTGGCTTTCAGCCTTCTTCATGGTCCAACTCACATTCATACATGACTACTGGAAATACCATAGTTTTGACTATATGAAACTTTGATGGCAAAGGGACGTCTCTGCTGTTTAATATGCTGTCTAGGTTTGTCATAGCTTTTCTTCCACGGAGCAAGTGTCTTTTAATATCGTGGCTGTAGTTACCATCTGCAGTGATTTTGGAGCCCAAGAAAATAAAATCTGTTACTATTTCTACTTTTTCCCCTTCTATTTTCCATGAAGTGACAGGGCTGGATGCCATGGTCTTAGTTTTTTAAAGCTGAGTTTCAAGCTAGCTTTTCCCGCTCCTATTTCTCCCTCATTAAGAGGCTCCTTAGTTCCCCTTCACTTGCTGCCATTAGAGTGGTATCATCTGCATATCTGACGTTGTTGATATTTCTCCCAGCAATCTTGATTCCAATTTTTGATTCATACGGTCTGGCATTTCACATGCTGTACTCTGCATATAAGTTAAATGAGCAGGGTGACAATATACAGCCTTGATGTACTCTTTTTCCAATTTGGAACCAGTCCATTATTCCATGTTCAGTTCTAACTGTTGCTTCTTGACCTGCTGCATAGAGACACCTCCTGAGGTGTCTCAGGAGGCAGGTAACATAGTCTGGTATTCCCATCTCTTAAAGAATTTTCCATCAGTTTGTTGTGATTCACATTGTCAAAGGCTTCAGTGCCAATAAAAAAAAGGTAGATGTCTTTCTGGAATCCCCTTGCTTTCTCTATGATCTAACAGATGTTGGCAATTTGATCTCTGGTGTCTCTGCCTTTTCTACATGCAGCCTGTATATCTGAAGGCTCTCAGTTCACATACTGCTGAAGCCTAGTTTTAACGATTTTGAGCATAACCTTGCTAGCAAGTGAGATGAGCACAATTACGTGGTAGTCTGAACATTCCTTGGCATTGCCCTTCTTTGGGATTGGAGCCTTTTCCAGTCCTATGGCCAAATTTGCTGGCATATTGACTGCAGTACTTTAACAGCATCATTTTTAGCATTTCAAATAGCTCAGTTGGAATTCTGTCACCTCCACTAGCTTTGTTCCTAGTAATGCTTTCTAAGACCCATTTGACTTAACACCCCAGGATATCTGGCTTGAGGTGAGTAACTACACCACTGTGGTTATCTGAATCACTAAGACCCTTTTTGTATAGTTCTTCAGTGTATTCTTTCCACCTCTTCCTAATCTCTTCTGCTTCTGTTAGGTCCTTATTGTTTCTGTCTTTTATTGTGCTCATCCTTGTGTGAAATGCTCTCTTGTTATCTCAGTTTTCTTGAAGAGATCTCTGGTCTTTCCCATTCTATTGTTTTCCTCTACTTCTTTGCACTGTTCATGTAAGAATTCCTTATCTCTCCTTGCTATTGTCTGGAACTCTGTATTCATCTGTTACTTTATCCCTTGCCTTTTGCTTCTCTCTTTTCCTCAGCTATTTGTAAGTCTTTTCAGACAACCACTTTGCCTTTTTGCATTTCTCTGTCTTTGGGATGGTTTTGGCCACTACCTCCTATAAATTGTTACAAACCTCTGTCCATAGTTCTTCAGGCTCTGTGTCTACCAGATTTAATCCCTTAAATCATTTCGTCACCTCCACTATATAATCATAAGGGATCTCATTTAGGTCATACATGAATGGCCTAGTGGCTTTCCCTACTTTCTTCATTTTAAGCCTGAATCATCATCTGGTGATGTCCATATGTAGAGTCATCTCTTAGATTGTTGGAAATGGGTGTTTCCTATGACCAGTGTGTTTTCCTACAAAACTCTGTAGCCTTTGCCCTTCATTTTCACTCCAAGGCCAACCTTGCCTGTTATTCTGGGTATCCCTTGACTTCCTGCTTTTGCATTCCAATCCCCTGTGATGAAAAAGATATCTTTTTGTGTGTGTTAGTTCTAGAAGATACTGTAGGTCTTCATAGAACCATTCTACTTCAGCTTCTTCAGCAATAGTGGTTGAGGCATAGACTTGGATTACTGTGTTATTGAATGGTTTGCCTTGGAAACAAATGGAGATCATTCTGTCGTTTTTGAGATTGCACCCAAGTACTGCATTTCAGATTCTTTTTTTATTTTTTAAAGTATGAGGCCTTCTCCATTTCTTAGAAGGGATTCTTGCCCACAGTAATACATATAGTAGTCATCTGAATTAAATTCACCCATACCCATCCATTTTAGTTCATTGACTCCTAGATCTATAGGGCCCAATAACATAAGCCACTAGGCACTGAGCGCTTGAGATGTGGTTAGTGCAAATAGGGAATTGAATTTTTACTTTTATTACTGCTAATTAAACCAAACTTAAAGGAATAGAGTTTCAAAATTGTTGTGCAAGTTTCTTTTTCTTACCAATATCACACTGCATATGAACAAGATTAATTTTAGCACCAAGGGAAGGAAAAACTGATTTGTGACCTGATTACACTGTAAGGAAAATTAGTGTTGACACGGAAACTTTCATAATACAACAGATCAATAATAAGGATTTTATACATTTTCTAACAAAGCAATATACAGAAGATTTTGATACAATAAACATTATATTTACTGGTTGTGAAACTACATAATTTTGTTGATATTGATAAAATATTTGCTTTTCATTTTTGATGTTAATAATCCTGAGTAGATTCATCAGTGAGGGAATTTTTTTTTCTTGCTAGTTTTCTCTTTCATAGTAAGCATATGAAATAATAAAGTCTTAAGACTTTCTTCCTAGAAAAGACAGACAGAATAGTGAGAGAATATATCTCCTCTTGGAGAGACTGCTTTGAAACCTGACAAATTTCCTCATATATTCAAGGTCTAGAACAATGGTAAGAGAATACTGAGAAAGCATGAACATATAGAGGAAAACCAAAAGTAAGCAGGTAAAATAAAATGTTTTCTAAGTAAATCAATACAATTATTAACCTAAAATTTCACATTAAAATTATAATATTTAAACTTGCTTTTTTTCTGGGTTTCCACTGATTACCATAACATTGCCATCTAATTTACTCGGCTTTTGTTTTATTACATTTTTAACAATGGTACTTCAAAGGAAAGAGCCCAAATCCAAAATATTATACACATAAAATTTGGATTATTTAAAAATCCATTTCTTTGAGAACATAATAGGCAATACTGCCAAACTGAGTATTTTTAGTGAGGAATCCATGGCCTCACATTTCTGCTCTTTGCTGACATTTTTTTTGGTAGAAGTGTGGTCACATCTATCTGTCTTTGGGTTCTTGTGGATTCAGTTTTTTTCCTTCTGCTGGCTCTTTTTACCATGGTTTTAGCACGTTCTTTTACTAATACTGTTCTTGCTTTTGCTTCTCCTGTCGGTTTTGCCTGGAAAGGACTCACAGCAGGACTAGTTTCTCAGCAATGCTGCCGTGAGAAATGTCCCTCAAGCATGTGGCCAAGCCCTCTGCAGATGACACCACTTAATTCGAGCTTTTGAAGGCCACTGTCATCAATGATGCAAATACCAGGAAGCACATAAGTAAGCTATATTTTTAAATTTAAGTCATAACTTCAGCATTTAACTCTTCTATGTGGTAACTACCCCCAAACAAAAATGGAGAGCGTTCCCAAATTTAATCTGGAACTATCTTAAGCAAAATGTAATAGTAAGTTTCAGGCAGAGTAACAGAGACGCATTCAGTATATTTAGACATTTTATTTTACTTCTGCTAGAGTTAGAACAGAAAAACTGGAAGCAGACCCTCTATGTGAAAGGAATTACTTCTGATAATTTTTCTTTGCTTGTCCTCTCTTTCAAAAGACAGAGAGCATTTCTGCAAAAAAGTAAGCTAAGTCAGTAACAAAATGAAGGGAAGGCTGAAAAGAAGCTAAACAAATTTACCTCTTGTTGGAGATCACACATACATAAAGACAATGAAAGAAGTTTAGATCTAGAGAGGAAACCAGCAGGTTTAATGATTTCATTTTGAATATGAGGAAAACAAGACCTAGGATTCTTAAATAATAATCAGAAATTTAAGATCTAACTATTGCCATGTCTGAAACTTATCCCTTTTTATCTTTAAGTTGGGAATCAGAGTTTATGGTTCAAAGGTCTTCAGAGATACCCAGGGTTCTACAGCCTGACTGCATATTACAACTCCTTGGGGATCTTTTACTCTTTGTTTTAAAATTGTTTTACCACTTGGCTGTACCATGTAGCACATGGCATCCTAGTTCCCAGACTAGGGATTGAACCTGTGCCCCCTGCATTGAAAGCACAGAGCCCCAACCACTGGACCACAAGGCAAGTCCCTTGAGGATCTTTATAAATTAAAATTAACTATGGCCCTGCTCTTTGAAATTGCTACTGTAGAATGAGATAGATGTATCCAAATTTTTCTAAGACTGTGTTTCGCTCAGCCAGAGTTGATATCCATTTCAAAGGGACCCGAAGACTTTTTTTTCATAAAGATGGTCACTAGTTTAGAATTAGTGATATATTAGCACAAGTTTGATAGTATTTATAATTTTTTTAGCCTTTAATATACAACATATTTTTGGGATCCCATTAATTCATCTAGATATACTGGATTTTGCTTTAAAAAATATCCATCCAAAATCCATTACCTACTTGACTCATTATGTATAACATCAGATTGTTATATGCTGGATGCAGTTCAAAATATTTATCAGCTGAGAAACTTCCGTGATGACTGAGACGGGAAAGAGCAATCTCATAGAAACACCTTTCTCCCTCTGTCCATAAGCAACACTGCCTTTTCTTTTAATAGATTACAAAGATATATCAAAACAATTTGCCAATAAAGAACACCTGAATGATATAATTCTGGCATATGACCAACTTATATGGAGAAACTACATATGGCTGATGAAATTATTATTCCCCAACCTTGAAACCTTTATAGACTATTGAACACTAAAATAGGGCAATATTTCTTCAAAATAGCTAACAACAGTAAGTAAAGTAATATACCCTCCATCAGTTCTCAAGGAAAAATAAATCTTCTTTTGGAATTCACCTCAAGGGAATAATTTAATTATATTTCCATTATAGCTATCCTTTCTGGAGTTATCATATCTGAAAGAAACTAGACATAAAGCCTGAACTAGGCATCTTCTGGGAGCCCTAAAATAAATGAACATGGGTATAGGAATCAATGAAATTTCTTTCCTGATCCATACTCTTTTCCAAAAAGGACAAAATAGTGCACTTATAGTCCAAACAGTGGAAAACTTACAGTTTCTTTTTAATCATGGCATGTCTTCAAGCAATAAAATGCACAAGTCTTGTGTTCAGGTTGATAAAATTGATAGTTATATAGCCCCAAATAACTGGATTTAGAAAAGGCAGAGGAACCAGAGATCAAATTGCCAACATCTGCTGGATCATCAAGAAAGCAAGCAGGTTCCAGAAAAACATCTACTTCTGCTTCATTGACTATGCCAAAGATTTTGACTGTGTGAATCACAACAAACTGTGGTAAATTCTTAAAGAGATGGGAATATCAGACTACTTGACCTGCCTTCTGAGAAATCTGTATGCAGGTCAAGAAGCAACAGTTAGAATTGACATGGAACAATGGACTGGTTCCAAACTGGAAAATGAGTATGTTAAGGCAGTATATTGTCACCATCTTATTTAACTTATATGCAGAGTGCATCATGTGAAGTGCTGTGCTGGACGAAGTACAAGCTGGAATCAAGATCCCTGGGAAAAATATCAATGACCTCAGATATTCAGAAGATACCACCCTCATGGCAGAAAGCAAAGAGGAACTGAGGAGCCTCTTGATAAAAGTCAAAGAGGACAGTGAAAAAGTTGGCTTAAAATTCAACATTCAAAAAACTAAGATCATGGCCTCCAGTCCCATCACTTCATGGCAAATAGATGGGGAAACAGTGGAAACTGTGACAGACTTTATATTGGTCTCCAGAATCACTGCAGATGGTGACTTCAGCCATGAGATTAAAAGACGCTTGCTCCTTGGAAGAAAAGCTATGACCAACCTGGACAGCATATTAAACAGCAGAGACATTGCTTTGCCAACAAAGGTCTGCCTTGTCTAATCTATGGTTTTTCCAGTAGTCATGTATGGATGTGAAAGTTGGACCATAAATAAAGTTGAGTGTCAAAGAAGTGATGTTTTTGAACTGTGGTGTTTGAGAAGACTCTTGAAAGTCCCTTGGACTGCAAGGAGATCCCACCAGTTTATCGCAGAGGAAATCAGTCCTGAATATTCAATGGAAGGTCTGATGCTGAAGCTGAAGTTCCAATACTTTGGCCACCTGATGTGAAGAACTGGCTAACTAAAAAAGACCCTTATGCTGGGAAAGATTGAAGGCAGGAGAAGGGGATGACAATAGTGAGATGGTTGGATGGCGTCACTGACTTGATGGCCCCAGGAGTTGGTGATGGACAAGGAAGCCTGGCGTACTTCTGTCCATGGAGTTGCAAAGAGTTGGATATGACTGACTGATTGAATTGAACTGAAATAACTACCATGCCAAAGAAAATATAGACTATTTGCATTACCATGGATTTTTCCTCAGTGTGTCTCCCAACCTTGTCCACCCAGTAGCAGCAACTTTATAATCTCTACCACCAATAACTAGTTTTACCTTTTTTCTCTTGTTTTTTTTTTTTTTCTTTCATTCAAAATTATGTCTTGAGATCTTGAAATTCACCCATCAGACGTTCATTCCTTTATACTGCTTAACACTATTTCATTGTATGGTTAAGCCATACTTCATTTATCTATTCTCTTGTTAATGAACAAGTGCTATTTTGTTTTGCCTTTGTCTCTGTAGTGTTAGTTCTTATGAATAATGCTGCAATGAATATACTCTCAAGAGCATATATTTTCATGAAAATTGTCAGTAATTGCAAAATATAGTGTAAATGTATATTTAAAAGAAACTGACAATTTATATTCCCAGTTGCAACACATAAGGATTCCATTTGCTCTATATCCTCACCAACATTTTGAATTGTCAGTCTTTTTCATTTTAGCCCTTAGGTTTTGTATGATGACAGAGCAGCTTTAAGAACTGCTACAATGCGCTACATGTCTGTGTCTTTATTCAGGCATTTTTGTGCAGAAAGTATTTCCCTTCAGCTTTTTCTATAGAAATTGGAACCCAACAGAATGTAATATATTTGTCAAATAAATTATTACTTAAAAATTATTACTTCTAGTAAGAGAGAATTAAATATTTTTGTGCATAGATATTTTCATGATTTCTTAAACTATGATTGGGCTATAAATATTTCTGACTTTATCACGTGGATGTATAGTTTTCTTCTCTAGTTGCCTGCATCTCTTATTTAGAAAGTGCTGCCACAGTTACATGAATCAGAGTATTAAAATGAACATGTATTTCCAGAGTAAAATACGTATTCAGAAATACTTTGCTCTTGCTATATGGGGCACTGACTAATAGCAATGATTGAAGCAAATTACCATTAAAGCCTGTTGAGTATCCTTCGCCAATGTTGTGCTGAGAATTCACAAGTGTGCTATGGAAGACTTTTCACTTTTTTTGCACTGATATTCTTGACTCCACTTTCTGTCCCAAACTATGGCAATTTTTTAATGACCTCAACTGAGGAATATTTGCTTTGGAAAACTGTTTTTCTCTGTTCATCCAGTATGTTCTGTATTTAACATTTTGTCTTTTTCTCACTGGTTCCAGAACCTACTCATACATGCTCCCTTTTACTGTGCTCTCTAAGATCACAGGCTATTTCCAGTCCATACCCTTGTCTAGTCACTCCTCCTGTGGATGAATGCTTGATTGCAGATTTTCCATTCTTGTTTGCCTGAGAGGTGACTGTAGAGATTTTTCTTTGAAGCCTAGGTTCTGTGCTTGTCTGGTAACACAAGTCATGAATTGCAAGAAAGATGATCTTAATGTTTCTTAATTAGAGCACTAGTCTTTATCTATAGTTTTTCCACATATAGCTGAGGATATTTCTTATTAAAAATTACTTCATAATTACCCTAACCACTGCACCCTCTTTCTGAAAGGGGACTGGAGGCATGGAGCATTCAAACTAATTTTCAGCTGAAAGAACCTTCATGCACTTGACACAGAAAAACACCTTCAAGTTCATGATGCTGTCAATTCTTATACAAGGTGTCCTTTACAACTAACTTTCACATTGCGAGTATGACTGAGTGAATAGAATCAAGCTTTCTTCCTATGAAAATGTACTTCCTTTCTCTTTTCATTTTTTTTTTTTTACTGAAGTATAACATGCATATTTAAAAGTACACAGATCACATGTACGTAGCTCAATACATTTTTACAAAGTAAACATGCCTCTATAACTGCCAACAAAAGCAAGAAATTGAATATTCCTATTGCACAAGCAGTGCTTCTACATGCCTCCTAGTCAACCCACCCCACCAAAGATAATCCTTTATTTGACTCTTTACTAAATTTTAAATAAAGTCTCACAGTATGTCAGGCTACTTTGTGTGTCTGTCTGTCTGTGTGTGTGAAGCTCCTCTT